GGGACCCGCACCCCCCGGGAATTGCTCCCACCCGCTGGGCGATGCTGGATTCGGCGCTCCCCTCTCCCACCGTGCCCACAGTAAACAGCGCTTAACTTTACTGGGGCCACCATTACAGCACGTGTCGTAGGTGTGTGTGTGGGGGGGAAGCTGGCCCCGCAGGCCTTTGGTACCCTACACCAAAATTCAGATTTTCTATCCTAACGTTTCTTAATGCAGGACGACATGAATCCCAACGATTTGGCTTTTCAAGGCCTGCTTTGTCTCAGGGAAATGAGAAAGCTCATTCTCCTTAAAGCGCACAAATCCCTTCTGGCACCAGAGCGAGGGTCTGCGGGGAAGGGCTCCGCGCTTCTCACTGTCCCTTTTCCCTCTTTTCTCCTGAAGGTGCAGGTCACCGGAGTGGGAAAAAAATCCTGGCTGTGGAGCACAAATGCCGTTATCAGGACGATGGATTTTAAACGTGAAGTTCACGTAGGTTGTTGCTCTCTTTATCAAGCCCTTCGCCTCCTTTTTAAGAAGCCTGGTTTGGAAAAAACGAATTATTGGCAGGTAGTGCCCTCCTTCCGAGCACTACGTCGCTTCTACCAGAGCACATGCCCTAAGGTAGCATGGGAAAGGTTATGTATCCTGCCCCGAGAGACTTGCCCTTAAGCGAAAGAAATCCTTTTTCCAGTTATTTCCAGTACTGCCAAGCGGGGGAAAACTCGTGTGTGTGTGCTGGCACACAGGGCACCCACGAGGCTGACCGCTCCCGAGACTCTCGGGGGTTCACACCAAGGTGGGGGGGGGCTTCTAACAGCAGGGTGACCAAGTTTAACTTAAAATTGCCGCTGAAAGGGTCCTCCGGCAGGCCGTCCTCCCTCAGGCAGCGTGAGCATTTGTGCAGGGTTGTCGCGGGATCGCTGCGTAGCTTCAGCGGGAAGGGACCCAACCACCCGCCCAACGCGCCGCCAGCTTCTCCAGGACGGCGTCAGGCCGAGCTTTGGGTACCTCCGAGGGTGGAGACCCCAGCAGCCCACCGCGAGCCCATTGCAGCCTGCGACCACCCGTCACAGAGGCTTTTTTTCCCCTCTATACCTTAGAATTTATTGCAACCCGTGTCCTTTGAGAGGTGGGAAGGTGGTGGGTTGCAGAGCATGAGGAACCTCACCTGACCCTGGTTCGGAGAGCGTCCAAGCAGTGTTCCTAGCTGGAAACATGGCCAACTCCAAGCCGAGGAATTAAAGATGGCAAGTGTCTGGGATTTCAGCCACGTTTCCGTTCCCTGGTTGCCGCAGAAAAAGGCCCTAAAAACAGCAGGAGAAAAAGCAAAGGGAAGAGCAAAGCCACACGCTCTCCCGCTTTCTGCTTCTACCAGCCGGCGGAGCTCGGGCAGCGCGGCCCGCCGGGCAGAGGCACCGACCAGCAGCCTGCGGGCAAAACCTCGCGCGTCCTGCGGGGAGCTGGGATTTCTGGGGACACCCGAGTAGGCTTTGGTCACTTCTGCTTTAGGAATGAGGGTCCAGCTCCTCCCTCCGCGCTGACAGTCACGTGTTGGGATGTCCTGTAAAACTGGTGTCTGCCTGATCTCACAAAAACTGATTTTTTTTTTTTGTCATGCCTTTCCTTCTTTCACTACAGCCAGTCTTCAGTCTCCGTGGCCCTCAAGTCACCGGGGCGATGTACCCGCATTTCATCAGGGAAGAAAGGACAAAAATGGATCTCAGAAATTGTAAATGCACTGGTCAGCCCAAACTTCTTCCCCCGCACTTCCCCCCTCCGCTAAACCGCCAGCCCGGCCTTTCTCCTTTCTGCCCGTGAGCTCCACGCAAAATTACAGAGCTGTTGCTTCATTAAGCGTTTCAGACAGCAGGACGATGGTGGAAAGCAGACGTGATTTGCAGTTTCTTTTGGCTGGCCTTGATGCTGACCTGGCAGTTCGGATCTTGCACGGACAGGCTGGGAGACTTCTCCTTTCCCAGGGCCCACCTCCATAACGTCTCACCCGCTTCGCTAGTCCCAGGTGCTTCAACAGAAGCCGAGCAGATGGGAAATCGAAGTCTTGCCCAAGCAGCAGTTTGTTGTTAAGTCACATGCAAATACAGGTGATTTCTGAAGATCCCACTGGTAACACAACGTGGATTTTACGCTGCTCAAGCAGCACGAGATACATTCCTAGAGAATGACTCTGCTGCGTGCCGAGAGGCAGCACCGAAGGCTCAGCCCAAGCCATGCTCCTGGCTTAAGCTGGAGCAGACACAATGGTTTAGTTCCACCAAACCAGCTCACAATTGCTCTGCGTCTAAGCAGCCTTCAACTACAGCTGCTCAGGAGCTGCAGTGCCTTCTCAACTAGAAAATAACACTTTGCTTGCATATACTTTAGAAATAAACATTACTACAGGTGCACACCTTCTCCCATTCAGTTTGGGATGGAATTTATTTGGAGGCTTGAGTTTTCCTCTTTACAGAGGCGCCAGCTCCTTCAGCACCTGCCGTGTCTGACGCAGCAGCAGCCGATTCCCCACTGCAGCCAACCCTCCCGCTGCACCGGCTTCTTCCCACCATGGACTCGGGTGGATCCTGGCAAATAACCCAGACCCCATTCAACACATTTTAGCAGCCCAGCTAGTGCACATACCACCCTCTTTCCTACACAGCCCTAGAAGTAGTAGCAAACCATGTTTTTTTTCTCCCCCAATTTGTGCAAGGGACACCGCTTTAGAGTCCTGCTCACTTATAGTAGGCACAGAGGCAAGTTTTCCTCCAGGGCTGTAAGTACCCTGTAAGAGTAACTTTAAGAGTTATTTGCAAAATTGAAGAGACACTGGCATAAAAAATTTGATCAAGGTCACCACCTTGCAGGAGGAAAACATACCTAGCAGAACATTTTTCTGAGACAAGGCTCATACAGCTCAGCATCTTCGAAGAATTTGATCCCTTTCCCTTTGGAAAAATGGACCTAAATTAATATTCATGACTTTTTTTCAGAACACTGTTAGGGCTGAAGTAAACCGCAGTCATAATGCTGCCGTTAATAGGGATTTTAGTGATACCTCAGAGTCAGCTAAAGCGTTCTCATTACCAGGATAATTTCAGCTTTCCACAGCCTGAGAGACCACACGTCAGCCCTTGCGCTGTGCTGCCCCAAGGGAAAATCCAGCCTTTGCCGGGAATAGAACAAAGGTTTCCCCCGGATCTTTGGAGAACTTGGGTTCTATCCACATCCCCAGCTGTACCACTGCAACAGCTGGACAGAGCTCTCGGGTGTGAGCGCCAGGTGTCAAATGCTGCAAAGTACAACAATTTCAAGCATCAAGGCCAAAACACACGGGAACATCTCCAGAGGTTGAAAAGGTGGATGTGCTATAGCTGGGCTTCGGTTCTGTACAGCCTCAGCAGATGAGATCCCCAGGGGGGTGTTTGCAAGGCCCTCAAGTTTTGCCAAAAGCGGTCATTTTGAATAAGCAAGGCTAAACCTTTTGCTCTTTCAATAGCTGCACTTATACCCCTACCCCAATCCCTCCCATGATGGGCACGGGCACCTCTTACTGACAGGTTTTTTTACCCCAAGTAAGCAAGTTGCCTTTCCTTCAGGAAGATGCCGTTAGTAGGGCAACCTCCTTTTGTCTGTGAGCAGCAGCTCTGCATCAGCAGCTTTGACACTCCTGCACCCTGCAGTTACTAGCAGAAACAGAATATTCACTGCTAAACACAACGTTTTGTGGCTCAACCAGGTCTTAGGATCTGTTTCCTCGAGAAGCAGTAGCACGGCATTTACAGAATGCCCTTGCAAAGGGAAATACCAACATGTAAACCACTTTTTCTTTCAGAGAATACACCAGGACCTGGAACATACGACATAGAGAGGGGCTACAGGGCTTGCTTACCCCGCTCCCCCAGTATCACCATTCAGGGAATCAGGAGACCCAAGAAACATGAGACCGGGCCCTTTACAACTCTCTGAAGCAGAGAGGACCACAAGATCCCACCCAGAATCAAGACTCACTCCAGTGATTAAATAAAGCAAAGAAATTCAGCTCGAGAACTAGAATGTGTTTACTTGTCCTGGCCACCAGAAAATCCACAATGTCCTCTGCTTCACAGCAGGAGAAAAGCAGAGCAAAGAATCCAATTTGTTCACAGAAAACCCACCATGCCTAGGCCAAAGGTTCCTCCTGGTAATAACAGGCTACAGGAAAGGCCAAGGTACCTACTGCCAGGCTCACAAAGCTCTCCTGGCTCCTGCAGCCCCTGGGAATGCTGACTGGAGAGCCACACCTTGGGTTTCACTTCAAACAGGGACTTGGAGCCCTTCCACCCCAGAAGCACATGCAGCTACTCTAGCACAGGGCCAAGAGGCAGGCAGCGGGCAGTCCGTGTTTGGTCCTGGCTGCAGCAGCTCACTGGCCAGAGCAGAGCTCACCAAAAGCTTTACACAGGCCACATATGCTCTTTACTGGAGCACTGGATTGAGGCAGCTCCACTTCTCCAAGCTCAGTGTTGCTGCAAGCAAATGATTTCAGGGCAGCAAACAGGCAATGAGCATCTTCCAGCTTTGAAGTCTGTGGTTGATGCAGAAGTGGTCCCCAGCCAAAACCCACAGTTCGTGCAGCATGGGACAAAGACAAATTAAACCATTAACACTGTTTGCAGACAACTGTGTCTTTTATTAAGTATTTAAGGTGCTACAAAAACTTAAGGAGCCTTCTTACAGCAACTTACTTTCTGCAGCCTTAGCTCTGTTGAAAGAGGAAAATACAGCTCATTAGTAGAGTTTTTCAGTAAACAGCCTAATACAGCAGTTTCAGCCAGAGATGGATACTTACAGCTGGGCACTCAATTGCACCATTATTGATGTCATCAATGATATCATGTGGGTGCCTGCCATCGATGCTACAGCCCACAGACTGGGCAGTTCCAAGGATCTCTTTGATCGTTCCTGCAGTGGGAAGATACAGGTTGTCAGCACTTTACAACAGGAAAAAACTCTGAAGAGGCAGAGAACTCAGGCTGGACCTCAAATACTGTGTTCGATTTTGGCCCCCTCACTACAAGGACACTGAGGTGGCTGGAGCGTGTCCAGAGAAGGGCAACGAAGTTGGTGAGGGGTCTGGAGAACATATCTTATGAGGAGCGGCTGAGGGAACTGGGGTTTAGTCTGGAGAAGAGGAGGCTGAGGGGAGACCTTATCGCTCTCTACAACTGCCTGAAAGGGGGTTGTGGCAATGTGGGTGTTGGTCTCTTCTCCCAAGGAACTAGCGATAGGACGAGAGGAAATGGCCTCAAGTTTGTGCCAGGGAAGGTTTAGATTGGATATTAGGAAACATTCCTTTAATGAAAGTGGTCAAGCATTGGAACAGGCTCTCCAGGGGGGTGGAGTCACCATCACGGGGTGTTCAAAAATCATATGTATGTGGCACTTCAGGACATGATTTAGCAGGCATGGTGGTGTTGGGTTGATGGTTGGACTTGATAACCTTAACAATTCTGTGATTCAACTCCTCACATCCCTCAGCTGTCCCTCCCTCGCTCACCTCTGGGTTCACCAGAGGACAGCAAACCACTGAAGCCAGGTCTAGAGAAGGCACCAGGAAGCACCACATGTACTGCTCACCATCCTGTACTACCTGCACCAGAAGGTGTGAGGCCGGCTGCTTGCAGTGTGGTGCTCAGTGCCTGAGCGGCCAGGCCGCACGAGGAGCTCCACCACCACACCACAGCTATGGGGCCCTCCCAGGAATGGGACCAGAACCTGGCTCAGGCACCAAGAGCAGAGGGAGGACTCTGCAACCTCAGCATCAGTACTCACCCGAGAGCTCTCGAGCCAGCGATCTGTGCCGCATCTGCCGTGCAATGTTCACTATCTCATCGAAGCTGACACTGCCGCTGTGCTTAACTGTGAAGGAAAGCAGTAGCACCAGTGAGTTCATGCAAGCACAGGGCACTTCCAGTCCCCGTGCTTCGCTAGAGAAGCACCATTCCCAGCACTCAGACCAGTGGAGCTTACAGCTACAGCTGGGCTGTGATAGGCATGCCTGTTCCCAGACTTCGGCACAAAGTTACCCACAAGCAGAGTAACTCTGTTTCCTAAGTTGGCATTTTCTGTCAGCTCACCTCTGGATTGTACTAGTCACTGCAACACAAGACAGGTACAGTGGCGGGTGGCTGTTCTACCCTATCTTCCAAGAAACTGAACTCTGCTGGCATGCAAACTGTTGTCTGTAC